ACTGCATAGTAAATTATAAATCCCAATGTGGATAAAACAGATGGTCGTGGCTAGGTAAAACATGGCACCCATGCCTTACTCCAGCAGTCGCTCCTGCTTCAGGGCAGTAACGAACAACCCCCACATTTGCCGTATGTGGAAGTGACCGAAACAAAGCCCCCTGCTACCAGCCCTTTCTCCGGGAGGTCCTGCGGAGCACACCCATTCTCTGGGAGGCTCCTAAAAGAGCAAAAGGGAATTGGGCAATTCGGGAGCATCCTGAAAAGCGCCCGCTCACCACGCCATACCAGAAGCAATCCTCTCCTGCTTCCAAGGGCTGTAAGTCCACAGTTACTAAGAAGAGTTACCAAGGGCTGCTCTTCTTAGTAACTGTGGACTCATACTCCAAATGGTTGGAGATCAGCCCCATCACCACTATGTCCACGAAAGCCATCATCCGTGCACTGTGCCGAATATTTGCAACCCAATCGTCTCTAACAATGGGGCGGCATTCACATTGGAAGAATTCCAGGAGTTCCTCTGGAGAAATCTAATCAGGCACGTGAGGTCTGCTCCTTTCCACCCGGCAACCAATGGACAGGCAGAGCGTATGGTGAGGACAGTGAAAGAAGCCCTCTGCCGGATCACGGAAGGGGACTGGGAATTCCGGCTGGCCCGTTTCCTTCTGACCCAGCAGACGACTCCCAACCCTGTCAATGGTCGCTGTCCAGCCGAGCTCCTGATGGGCTGGCGGTCCACCATTCTGTTGGACCGGCTACACCCCGACAGGGCACCTGAGTCGTGGAAGTTGTCTGAACAGAGGGAAGCCCCCCAGGGATTCTTCATGGAAGACCCTGTCTTCATTAGGAACTTTGGGAAGGGGCCCCCGTGGCTGGCAGACCGGGTCATCCGACTGACGGGTCCAGTGTCCGATGAGGTGTCCACGGAGGACAGCCAACTCCCAAGGAAACATGTGGACCAGTTGAGACGGCGCCAGCTTCCGATGGGAGATGGTCCAGCGAGGCCTGAGGGGCTAGACAGCACCACCCCTGAAGCAGGAGTAGGGAAGCAGCTGCCTTCGCCCATCAAGGCCCCATGAGAAGAAGCGCCACCTGCTATTTCGGAGCCAGAGGGGGAGTTGCTGTTGCCATTGCAGAGTACCCAGGCTGACGGACCAGCACCATTCCAGGACAACCCTGTTCCGGCACCCCGGCATTCCCTGCGTGATAGCCAACCGCCAGTCTAGTTGCAGGACTATGTAACTTAGGCTGGTTTTGAACTATGGGAGGAGAGGTGTTGTGTCTGTGGACCACCACTAGAAGTCTATGTCCTGAGTCCCCTAGCTTGGCTCCTAACACAATAGGGGCCAAGGATCCTAGTCCACCTTTTAGTCCACCAATAGGAATTTGGCGGGAGATTCAAACCCTTCAGTAGGACTGTAGCTGTCTGGGGTGGGTGTATATAGTTGGCCCTTGCTGGCCAGTTCTTTGTCTTGTGTTGTACTGAATAAACGTGACTTGTCAGCATGTCGTAGTCCGCCTCTCCATGCATCGAACCCAGTACTTTTCACCCTCCAAAGTAGCAATTTTCTCAGAGGAATGTATTTTATCTATGTACTTTAGAGACATGTTGTAATTCCAGCTGACCTCCAGGTCTCACCTGATTGGGGGAGACCTTGCTTTCTGTACCTTGTTTGTTGGCCCTCCTGTGATTGGCCACAGACTAAAAGAAGATGCTGAACTAGATGAATCACTGCTCAGATCCAGCAGGGATTCTCTCATGTGCTTAATGTTTCTTTTCCCTGCCAGGCTTAGAGTACACCGTGGGAAGGATGGTCTATAAACAGTCAGGTGGGAGCATCTGTAGCAAGTAATCAGTGGGCAAAGGGAGTATAACCCCCCGCCCCACATGCTGATACTGCCTTGCATATTCCCCCAAGCATTCGTGTTACGGGGCAAATGCGGATTTGAGAACTCAGACTTTATCCTGCAACATAAAATTCTACCTTCTGAGAGTTTGTAAAGCTTTGTCATACTTTAAAATGTTCAGACAATAGAGGTGCCTTGCTCAGGGAGGGGCTGTGGCTCAGCGGTGGAGCAAAAGGTCCTTGGTTCAATCCTCAGCATCTCCAGCTGCAAGGATCTGTCAGTGGGCGTCATGAAAGGCCTCTGTCTGGAACCCTGGAGAGCCACTGCCGGTCAGGGTAGACCGTATTGGTCTTGATAGATCAGTGGCTCAGCTCCGTAGAAGGGAACTTCATGTGTGTTCATATGAGCTCAGACCATTGGTTCATGCAGTGGCCTTTCTCAGCCAGCTCTGCTACTGTCCTTTGTTAACTGGAGATGCTCCGTATTGCACATGGGGCTTCCAGCATGTCAGGTATGTGTGGATAGTCTGTAACGGTGATAATTAAGTGCTGTAACTAATCTGGACCGATTCTTTGACAAAGTTCTTTGTTCCCTGACTTGGCACGCAGGGAACGCAGTCGCCTGGGGGAAAGGAAGACGGAAGATGGCATCTTTTTGACTGGCCACTTCCTAAGCCTGAGGGCTGCACTGTGTCCTTTTTCTAACTCAGTTAGATGGATTTCACGGTTACATTTCAGCAATAAAGTCTTCATTGATTTATGTTCCTGTTACACTTGGACTGTTTATTTTAGCGGATTGGATGGTGTGTTGCCTAAGCCATTCATACAAATAGTATTTCAGCAATAAAGTCTCCATTGATTTATGTTCCTGTTACACTTGACTGTTTATTTTAGCGGATTGGATTGTGTGTTGCCTAAGCCATTCATACAAATAGTGATGGCACCAGATCGCTGAGGATCCTACACCCAAGTGTGTGACCTGTGGGGGAAAACAAGAGAGCTGGCCCTGTACAGATCTGTCAGTCAGATTCCGATGGGGAGCCGTGTTGGTCTGAAGCAGCAGAACAAAGTCTGAGCCCAGTGGGGCACCTTTAAGACCAACAAAGTTTTATTCTCGATATAATCTTTCGTGTGCATGCACACTTCTTCAGTTATAATGAAATGGAAGTTACCAATCCATGTTGTTGTTGTTATAAAATTTCGTTAGTCTTAAAGGTGCCACTGGACTCAAACTTTGTTCTAATCCTAAACAGTTAAGCCCTACCAAGTCAATGAGTTCAGAAGGGTCTTAACAAGTGTGCTTAGGATGGCACTACCATTTTAGCATCATTGTCCAGATTTGTGAAGGGCTGCAGTGGCTCAGAGGTTAAGACACTGAGCTACAGACTGGAAGGCTGGTAGCTTGGCAGTTCGAGACCCTAGTGCCGCATGAAACCTTTACCTTCACTGGATTTTTGGTAGGGGAAAATTCAGTCTGAAAGGTATTTAGTGGTATAGTAGGAAGCAACTTCAGTTTATTACAATCTAAACTTTCTCAGACAGGTTTTGTGAATGGAAGTGTCCATCTACAAGCCAATTAGTTGCACAAACTGGTTTTCATTCAGGGTTAATTGATCTAGGATGGGGCTCTGTTTTGCATGCAGAAGGTCCCCGGTTAAATCCCAGCATCTCTATTTTAAAAGATCAGGTAGCAGGTGATGTGAATGACCTGTACCTGGAACCCCGGAGAGCCACTGCCAGTCAGAGTAGATAATTCTGACCTTGGTAAACCAGTGGTCTAACGTAGCAGATGGCATCTTCATATGTTCATGATGCTCTATGTCAGATCCCTCCCTTTCTAGCTCTCTGTAAATCTTCTACACTGTGGCTGCGGTCACACGGAGCATTTGCCACACTGACGATACGGATGGTTGGCGGATTTTCCGGGCGTGATCACACCGCAACATCTGGGAAGCGTAGAGCTCCCGTGGCTAACCCGAGGCTTCCCGCTGAAGATGCGGAGTAAAAAACTAGTACCTCCGCGGGGCAAGGGCTGGGGTCTGATCGCGTTTCTGGTGGATTTACGTGGCATCCGGCGCCCGCCGCTGTTCGTCGCACACAAGGGTTTTTTTGGTTTCCCAAGTCTCCGCAGGTTGCGCAACAGCGCCCAACAGCGCATGCGCACAAAGAGCGATTGCTAGTGCGATCGCGCAGCACGGCTTCTGTGCCGCGCTGCAGGATACCCGTGCTGCAGGATCTCCCCCCCTAACCACGGGACCTCTACCGGGACGTGTGCTTGGGCGGCCAAGCGTTAGTTTCCTCCGGGGCAATTAGCCACGCCTCCTCCTGCGATATCCGGCCCATGTGACCGGGGCCAGCTATTCCAGAAAGCTTTCTGTAGATAGTGGTTAGACTGAATTGTTGTTAATGGTGAGACAGATGACCTATGGATCAAACGGCTGGGGAGAGCTGTTGACATTGACTGCTTTTAACTGATTTTTTTTTTAATGGAGTATCTTTATTTTCTGTGATGTTGAGACTTGAGCTGGCATTACTTAGTGGTCAGAGTTCGAATCCCTGCTTTGTCATGGAAGCTTGCTGAATGACCTTGGTTCAGTAACACTCTCAACATTACCTGCCTCATAAGGCTGTTGTAAAGATAAAACGGAGGAGTGGAGAATGATGTAAGCTGCTTTTGATCCCCACTAGGGGAAAAGATGGGGGTATAAATGAAGTAAATCAAAATAAAAGTTTAACCTGTGCTGTTAGCTCTCCTGAGCCTATTGAAAGGGCAGGGCAGGAGATACTTCGTAATCCATAATGCGGGCAACTAAGTACTTTCATCCAGCATGAAAGGATCCTGTCTTGTGTTTGACTACTGCCTCAGTCTTTATCTGTCACTCAGAGCTTATAGCAGAAATGCTCAGTGAGGTTTGGCAGCAGTGGTGTCTTCCCAAGACTCTGAATCAGGATCGTGTATTTCATGATCAGGGTCAATACAGGCACTTTTTGAGGAGAGTCATCATTTCCTTTATATTGTGAAGCTCCCACCACATGGCACCCAAAGGATTTATAACCGGGGGGGGGGGGGGGGGGAGAAATCCCTTTGCACAGCTTTTTCTACTCAAATGTATTTGCAATGTAACATTGATGGCAAAATCTGTTTGCATTGCAGAGCTCCTATGACAGGGACGTGATTCTGAATATATTGAGCATTCTTACTGATCTTCTCTCGGTGGGTAAGTAGAAGAAGCAAAGCTTTTCACGTGAAAACAAGTAGTGTCCCACTGACTTGCCTCAATTCAAATGACAATTAATTCAGTAATGTATATACCCCACCTTGTGTTTGCAAAGTCGAGGTAGTCAACGGAACAGCAACGGCTGCCAGGAAAAACAGAAGTATCTAGCAAGTTGAAATAAGCGCACAAACACAATTAAAAAAAATGTAGTTAAAACACAGTCTAGCTCCCAATTAGCTGCCACTGAATGCCTTCTGGGACTGGGCAGTATTATGGGCCTTTCTGAATGACAAGGGATTGATTGTAACTTATGAATGCTGTCTCCCACCTTTGGCTCCTCTGCTTCTTAGGGCAGTGGGGTGGGGTGAAACAGTGACCTATGATGCTGCAATGTCATTTCTGACTAATCAGAAATGATGTCACTGGGTCATGGGATGTTCTAGGATTCCCCTAAAACTCTGTGATTTTTATCATAAAGTTTCTGGTAGAACATCCCCTGATTATTATTATTATTTAAATTGGATTTCTATCTCTCCCTCCCCGCGAACGGGCTTAGGGCGGCTTACATTTAGCGGCACTATGTGTCGAGATACATTAAACATATAAAACCAGATACAAACAAGATAAAAAAATCATATTATTACAATTAAAGTGCTTATAGAATTGATTATGCAACCAGAAGTGTCAGTGCAGCACTGCAGGATGTTGTGTAGGTAAATCTCCACCCCCCGCCCCAGTCTCCCTGGGGTTTGCCCTATTGATCCCATGTGGCAGCCCTATTGTAACTCAACACAAATTACTACATTGAAGGCATTCCCATATGGGGTGTATGAAGAGCTCACAGTGGGGTTGCCAGGGGGACTTGGGGGGCGTTCAGGGGGTGGATAGGGATGTCAGGCAACATCCCTGATGCAATGACATCACACGGAAGTGACATCATCATTTCGGGGACATTGCCTAGCAGCACTCTGCATTTTGGGCAAACTCTATGGCATTTTTGGCCTAAATGTGTAGTGTTTTTCCCAAAAAGCAGAGCGTTGTTGTGTGACATCCCGACATGATGACGTCACATCTGCATGATGTCATCATGTTGGGGATGTCGCCGTGCGATCAGGGCCGGCTCACTCACTAGGTGAACTAGGCGATCGCCTAGAGCGGGCCGGTCCTTAGGGGCGCCAAGCTGCACCCGGCCCCGTACTCTGGGAGTTTCTTGATTATTTGTGTTTTCCATTCTTCCTAAAATGAATTTATTTTTGAAAATTGGTGGACGCGTGGGGGGGAGGCGCCAGAAGGGATCCTCGCCTAGGGTGCAAAATAAGCTGGGGCCGGCCCTGCGTGCGATGTCCCTGTTTGGGGGAGGGGCTTCCCCACAAGCCAGCTGGCCACCAGTGGGCAGAAGCCCCAAAAATCGGGGGAATCCCCACCTGGACCGTGGGTCTGGCAACCCTATAGCTCACAGGCAGGATGGGACTGACTGTGAGAAAGTTCTGCTTATGTGAACTGGCAACTTTTGCTGGGAGGCCATTTACCCTTATAAGAATATAACTGGCAAGGAGCCCTACAAGATTTGACCAATGTCTGTCCCATCTAGTATCCAGTTCCCAACGCTGGTCAGCCAGGAAGCCCCCAAATAGGGCAACCCCCCAGCCCTTCCCAGTATGTGGTTCCCAACACTAAGTATATCTTTAGATGGAGTTCCTCCTTGGCCATCGTCTTGAGTGGCCATTGTCAGAGCTTTCTGCCATGGATTTGTTTAGCCCCCTTTAATACCTGTAAGGGAAGCATCTCCACTGGCCTCCGAGTCAGCTGCTGGGCCTCTTCCTCCCAAGATCCTGGCCAAAGCATAGAAAAGCCGCAGGAGCACAATACTTGCTAGCAGTGCAGCTGATCCTGATTAACTTCCTAGCCTATTTAGTTTGAGGCTTGGGAGGTTGCCTTCCTGGATCAACCGGTCCACTAGGTGCAAGCCTGTGCGCCAGCTCCTTTTCTTCAGTTCCAGGGCCTGGGTGCTACTTCATGTTGACCCTCTCAAGTTTCGCTACATTAGGATTGCCAGGTCCCTCCTGTAGGCTTGCCAAGTCCCTCTGGGGGGGCGCGGAACCCCCCGCCCCAGAGGCCCGTTCCCCACTGCCGGCCCCGGGGAGAAGTGACACGACCACACCTGGCATGCTGGGGGCGGGGCCACGGTCATCCGAGGGAAAACTCTATGGCGCTCCCGGCGCCAGCCAGGAGTCCCCCGCTGTGGCGCAACACCCGACTTGGCAACCCTACCCTCCTGGCAACTGGTGGGGGATGGGGGAGACTTACTAGGAGAGAAAGGAAGGCCCAGGTGATGTGGTGATGTCACTTCCAGTGAACACAGAAAGAAACATCATCAAACTGTTATGTTCTGGCAATGCTCTGGTATTTGGGCAAGAACTCTATGTTAAAAATAGCTTCTACAAGAGAGTTTTCCCCAAATACCAGAGTGGCACCTGGATATTGCCTGTGTGATGACATCACTTTCTGTGAACATCAGAAGTGACATCGCCACATTGGGCGACATGGCCTGGGCCTTCCTCTCTTTCCTGTTAAGTCCCCTGCCAGCTGATTGGCAGCAGGGTAGTGGGACCTGGTGTTGGGAGACCTCTGCCTGGGGTAGCTGGCATCTCTGTGCTACATAGAACTGAGGGCACTGTTCCTGAGGAGACCTGACTGGACCAGCCTGCGGAGTGCAGGACAGGAGGTCCCCCCTCCATTTTGTGCTGCTGTACTTTTTTGAGGGATTGCCTTTTTCGTTATCTTGGATAAATAGGATGGCATTTTATGTAGGAAAACTAGCAAGAAAGAACAGGGCTAAGGAAATTCTCTTCGATTCCAGATTGCAACCTCCAATTTAACTTTTCAATTTTTGGGGTTTTTTTTTAAGTATTGGGAGGCTGTCCAGGCATATTGCCTTTCGAAGCCATCTAAGTTGGGACCCTTAGTGTTAAGGCAGTGAATTCTGTAACTCATGTGAAGAAGTACTTAATTTTTATTTTGCATCATACGTGAGTTGCAAATATGTCTTTGCACTGTGCTGAGATTAGGGATGAAGCTATATACTACTGAATTTCTGTGGCCAATTTGATCTGTTCACCTGCTGGCTGAGCATCCGGAAAGAGATCTGATGAGACTTTCTTTGCTCCTCTAGTTTTGCTGCCTGGGAAAGGATCATTGAATATATATTTGTTCAATGTAACTATTTCTAAGACTATGTAGAACCTCAGTGTCAGTGTAGCCTAGGGAGGGGCAGATGAGCTCAGAGACCAGTTTATCATGCCCACCAGGGGTCATTTTGTAGAAAAAGAGCTAGGGGAACTCATTAGCATAACTCATTAGCATATGCCACACCCCCTGACATCAGGGGCCCGGCGGTGGACCTGCAAGGCCGGCGGGAGTGCAAGGAAGCCCCGCGAAGGCCCTCCCTGGCCCCAGGCAGGCAGGGGTGGGGAGAGGCGGGGAGGAAGCAACTTACCCTCCCTCTTCTCCTACCTCCTCCTGGTTGAATGAGGGCTGGAAGCAGGGCGTCCGGAAGCAGGGGGCAGGGCTTCATCGTGTGCCCTGCCCCCTGCACCTCACCCGGGGGAACTGCGATCCCCCGCGTTCCCCCCCGAAATGACCTCTGATGCCCACACCCCAAAGAGCCCCCCCCAACATATAGCCTTGAGGAACAATGTATGGGTGAAATCTAGACAGAGGTTTTGCTGAATGTCACCAAATTCTCTGCTTTACCGCAGTCTGTATCTCTGAACGATCAAATTTATTCATTTACTTCATTTATACTCAGCCTTTCTCTACATGGGAGTCCCAAAGCAGCTTACATCATTCTCCTCTCCTCCATTTTGTCCATACCACAACCCTTTGAGCTGGGTTAGGCTGAACGTGTGTGACCGGCTCAAGGTCACCCAGCAAGCTTCCACGGCAGAGTGGGGATTTGAACCTGGGTCTCCCAGATTCTAGTCCAACATTCCAGCCACTACACTCACTGGCTATCAAACGGGACCTCTCCTATCTTTTTCATGAGTGGAAAAGGTGGTTCCATCCCATCCTACAACTGCAGGGTTCGTTCAGCCAAGCAGGTATGAAATATCATCTCAAATAATGAAGTAAAATATGTGTAGAGGAAGCACAGAAGTTCAAAGCCTCTGGAAGAGGAATTTGGGGATTTCCCAAAAATAAGCCGGCAAATTGTTAACCACTAAGCAGAACTGTAGAAACAGGTGTTTTATATCCAATTTAATTGACAGAAGAGGAATTTTCTAACAAGCAGGTGTTCTTACATCATTAAACTTTTTAATTAAGACTGTACTTTTCACCACCATTCACCACCTAATGAGCTGTCATAGTGATCTATGTTCAAGCTCTCTACTTCAAAAGGAACTATAATGGTTTAACTTTAAATAAGAAAAAAAATCAAACTAAACTTTTCTTTTTCAGTTTAAAATGCTTTAACATATAAATATTGAACTATTGGAATCTATAAGCAATGTAAATATATCTGCCTTTTAGCAGCTTATTATTTTAAGGCAAAAAGGGATTGTTTGTTTGCTTACATAGAGAAATAGTTATACATTTTATGAACTGAGCTGGCAAGTGATGCCCAGTGAAAAGTATTCAATAATTGGTCAAAAAGCCTAATTGGGGTGAATGAGAGGGTAATTGTAAATCCCCTCTTCTGACTTGGTGTGCGTTTAAAAAAGTAATACACAAACTTTATATTTTGTTTATGGCTGAGAATGAAAGCTTATGGCATAAAATATTTCTGAATGTTTATATAAAAAGAGAAAACTAGTTAAATTCTTAATTCTTTAATAAGGAACTGTGCTTAAGACTGGCAAACAGCTAACAAGCAAAGGTTGGGAAATGGCCAAAGACAGTTCCAAAAGCTAATGAGGTAGGATCTATTAATCATGGATTGTGTCATTAAGAGGCCAATTAAGCATGCAGAACTTATGTTACAGAAGAAGGACCCCTACTGGCCAAAGTAAATCAGCATATTTTACAAAACCAGAAACTTTAATTTAGATTTAATACTTCATAAAATTCAGCAAAAATCTTCTGATGGATTAAAATGAAGAATAGTAGATGGATTCAAGATATCTATAAAAGTTTTATGCCATAGACTACTTGGAAACATTAAAAGAATACATGTAAAGGGTTTAATTCTTTAGAATGTCATTGTAATGATATATGTTTCCATATTCTACATATTTTGTATACCCTTGGTGATAATAAGCTTACAGAATCATAGAATGTTAGAGTTGGAAGGTACCTTGAAGGCCATCTAGTCCAACCCCCTGCACTTTGCAGGAGCAGAGCCGAAAGGTAGCCCTAGATACCTACAACATACCAGAAAGATGGTCGTCCAGCCTCCGCTTGAAAACGTCCAGCGAAGGAGCATCCACCACCTCCCAAGGCAAACAGTTCCACTGCTCAACCACTCTTACAGTTAGGAAGTTTCTCCTGATATTTAGCCAGTAACGACTCCCTTGTAATTTCCACCCATTAGATCTAGTCTTGCAATCTGGAGCAAGAGAGAATAGATCTGCTCCATCTTCTACATGACAGCCCTTCGAATATTTGAAGACTGCAATCATGTCCCCTCTTAAGCCTTCTCTTTCCCAGGCTAAACATACCCAGCTCTTTCAGCCTTTCCTTATAAGACTTGGATTCCAACCCTCTCACCATCCTGGTTGCCCTCTTCTGGACACGCTCGAGCTTGTCAACATCCTTCCTAAAATGTGGTGCCCAAAACTGGACACAGTACTCCAGGTGAGGCCTGACCATAGCAGAATAGAGCGGAACTACCACCTCCCTTGATCTGGACACAATGCTTCTGTTAATGCATCCTAAGATTGCATTAGCTTTCTTCACAGCCACATTGCCCTGCAGGCTCATGTTTAGCTTGTGATGAACCAGAACACCTAGATCCCTTTCACATATGCTACTGTCAAGCCAAGTCCCAAATGCTTTAAAAGTGCTTTTATACACATATATGCATGAAATAATGTAGAGAAACTATTTTTGTAATAGGAACAGCTAGATTTTATATTGAGAATGAACTCAGCCTAAAAGTTCATTCAAAGGTGAAGCAAGTCTGGGAGAAAAGCCAGTAAGAAGCATTAGTCATTTTTAATGAGACGAACACTCATATTGTAAGGCTGAAATGCAACCAGGTAGCGTTTGTCAAACACTTGATAAATGACTGTTAAGCCAAAGAAACTTAAACTGAGCATGTGCAAATGATGTCAACAATGATGTAAAGTTGGGAGGAGCAAGAAAAGCATATAAGTCAGATCCCTGCTGTTACTCACTGGACATCTGAGCTGAATTTTTGGCTGTATGGTGTCCCTTATTAGAATAAAACTTTTTTCTACCCTTTACTGCCTGGATATTCTATCTCACTGTGTGGTGTATTGGCTAGCCACACAAGTCAAAGAACCTTAGCGCCCTCAGGGTGTTGCCTTCATATGTATTTTCAGGCAAAACAACCCCCCCCCCCAATAATGAAATCACAAAGAGTCAAGTGTTACGGCATTCAGACTGGCAGTTTGGCCCGGCAAGCAAATGTTTCAGTAGCAGATTAAAGGGGCGGGATCACACAGCCACATGTTTCAGGCGTCCCCCAGCCATACTCAAGCCGTCTTGTGCCGCTTCCCTCCCGAGTTTAAAAGATACCAGGTGAAAGTAGTAGCAAACCGTGCATAGAGCGCGTTGATTCCGGTTCCCTGAGTGTGAACACAAGCGCTGCTAAGGCTGGAACAACCCACAGTCATTGATAATACGCAACGGCTGTGTCCGCGGGCAGGCGCCATTGGCGCCTGTGCAATCCTAGCGTATTTGCTGCTGTGCCCATGCACCCATGCACCCATGCGCATGGGCACATGCAACCCAGCACGGAAACAGCTGCTAATAGGCCACTAGGGTGGCCCAACAGTGTGAACGCTCCCTTGCGCTTCCTCCGCGGTATCCTCCCGCTTCATTCACTGCGGTGTGAACAGGAATACCGCAACCAAGCTGTTCCAGGTCTATTCCGGGTTTTCTTTGCCATGACTCCCTAGCGCTTCAAATTGCCAGTCTGAACTCGGCCGTAGATAAGAAGAGGAATTATGATGAAACGGAGTCCGGGGAAGTCTCTTATCCCTAGCACAGGTTATATTTTTTACTGGTAGGCCTGAACACAAATTGTCATGCATAAAGCAGCACTGATTTGTTAAGAGGCAGGGCTGTTTATGGCAGGGTTTTAAGGGGTTTGCGTTTGAGTACTGAAAAGTCTTCTCAGCCATTTTTTTCATTTGCTTCTGTGCCTAGGGACAGCCCGGAGGATTCACTACATGATTAGCAAAGGAGGCAGCGAAGCACTTCTGCAGGCCCTGGTGAACGTGGCCCAGACTCCCACGCCGGACAACAGTGTCCTCCTGTCCGTGCTTTGCCTGGCTGCCAAGGTGGGCCAGAAAGGTATTGCAGATGAACCCTGCGGCTTTATGATGCTGTTTCCCCAGTTGTGCCTTGTCTGAGAAGGAGGGGCAGGAAGTTATTTCAGCTGCCAAAAATATGCAGTATGGGTGATGAGCACAACTGGTGTATGCTTCAGCTGCACATTTGGAGCTGTTCCTGATACTGCTGACCAATGTGGTGCTCTGGACAGGATGCTGATAGGGCTGACTACTCTTGGGCTTGGTGCCCTTGCATTGGTTCTCCCAGGAAAGGTGCTTTCCTCCGGCACGAAGAGCCTTCCCTGCATACAGGAGGCTCACTTGAGGCCGAGGATTTTCTGAGCACCTTAAAGGTGGTGAAGGGCAAGGAGTGGCGGTCTGATGACTCAAGGCCTTTATTTGTTTAGGCTATTTACTGTCCTCCTTTCTCCCTCAGGCTCAAGGTGGATTATAGAGTGTAAGTCAATGCTATCAACAGAATGGGGGACCCAATAAGCAATGTAATAGGATCAGGATTGTGGAAAACTGAAAGAAAGCATAATTATCAACTTGATGTGTTTAAATGATGCAGAAGTTACATAGCAGAATAACACATACAGCAACAGATAGTATCTATACAGAGTACTATAGTTCACCGTTCCTTTCCCTTTATTAAAGCCTCTTCCTGAAAAAAATTCCATTAGAATATGGCCCTGTCGCCTTTGTAAAAATGCCCTCCTGAATAATTCTGTTTTGCATATTTCAAAGTGTTAGCCGAATGTGTTTGATGTGATCTAGAAATTCCTCAGGGACATAGAATAGCTGATGCAAGGGCCTGTTCTGCTGGAGGTAGCAAAATGTAGCTTTGATTGCTGTTTGCCCAAGAGAAAGGAAGCAGTGCCTTCAAAGCCAAGGGAAAGGCACGCGGGTTTGTTCCAGCCACTGAAATTAGTGGAGCACACCAGACATACAAGAGCTCTGTGTGTAAGCTTGAGCATACATGAAACTCTAGAGAGAAGACCAAGCTTTGAAGAGATTCTTGTAAAATAGGGTATTATGTCATTCCAAAGATCAGTCTTTGTTTTATGCAAACTGGGAAGATATATCCTAGTTATTAATGATGTCTTTTTTCTTTGCCGTCCCGAAGATAAGAAGTTTGGGCTGAAGGCCCAAAAGCTGGAGGCCATTGATGTGATGCTCAGCTTGATCAGGAAGAATTTGAATCACAGCCAGACGCTCACCCACTGCCTTTGGGTGCTCCGAGTTTATGCGTCTAGCGGTGAGTGTGTCACCTTTCCTTCTTCCCTTTTGTTCAGAATTGCTCAGAGGATTGTCTGCATGCTGGGCATGCACACACGAACACACACATTTGAGTGAAAGAATTGGGAGCAGGCTGGTGGAGGGTCGGAGGGGAAAGGATGCAGTCAGTAGGCAAGGGCTGCCAAGCAAACACAATAGAAGTGGAAGAGCTGGTTTTTATAGCCTGCTTTTCTCTACCTTAGGAGCTGCGGTGGCTCAAGTGGTTAAGACGCTGAACTGCAGGCTGTGGAAGGTCAGTAGTTCAGCAGTTTGAGACCCGGTTGCTGCATGATGGAGTGAGCTCCCGTCTCTAGTTCCAGCTCTAGCAGTTCGAAAGCAAGAAATTGCAAGTAGATAAATAGGTACCACTTCGGTGGGAAGGTAACAGCGTTCCGTGCGCCTTGGTGTTTAGTCATGCCGGCCACATGACCACGGAAACGTCTTCGGACAGCGCTGGCTCTTCGGCTTTGAAACGGAGATGAGCACCACAACCCTAGAGTCGGACTCGACTGGCTTTCGAGGCAGGGAACTTTTACCTTTACCTTTCTCTACCTTAAGAAGTCTCAAAGTGGCTTACTGTCTTCATCCCTTCCTCTCCCCACAACAGGCACCTTGCGAGTCCAGTGGAGCTGAGAAAAGTTTGGGGAGAACTGTGACTGGCCCAAAGTCACCCAGCAGGCTTCATGGGGAGGAGGAGTGGGGAATCAAACCTGGTTCTCCATATCATTTGCGGGGAAACAGGGTACACCATGCGGGACCTCAGGTTTGATAGGAGTTCCTGGATTGACTGGCGGTGTAGGAGGATGCATGGCTTGCAACCTCCCAATGATCTGTGCAACCTTTCAATGTTTTAAGATTGGATGGAGCCCCCATAGCAGCCATTTTGTGAATGGTCCCACCCCTCTGTGACAGCCATTTTGTGACTGGACCCTGCATCCAATGGCAGCCCTTTTGTGATGGTGTCCACGACCTGTTCTCAAAATTCCTGCCTATAGGCTCAACAAGGTTGGGATTACTAATGTGGGACTTACAAGAAACAGCAAATACTTTAAAGAAGCAGACCCCCAATCAACAAGGGCTGCCAAGTCCCCTGGGGGGCGGAAATCCCCCCACCCCAGAGGCCCGTTCCCCAACGCCGGGGAATCGGGCCCCGGGGGGAACCCTGCCCCAGCGTGCACGTCACAGGGAAGTGACGTCATGACGCTGGGCACGCTGGGGTCAGGGCCATGGCCATACAAGGGAAAACTCTATGGTTTTCCCTTGTATGGTCATGGCCCCGCCCCCAGCGTGCCCGGTGTCATGACGTCACTTCCCTGTGACGTGCATGCGGCACGCGCGCATATGCACCAGAATCCACATGGGAGTCCCCCACCGGCAAGGCAAGTGCCACTTGGTAACCCTACAATCAAACTAAATGACTACTCCAGCTTGGCTGTGAGGCCTGGATTTCTTCTGGAATAATAGCTGATCTCCAGCAACAGAGATCAGTTCCCTTGGAGAAAATGACAGCTTCCGAGGTGGACTCCCTGGCATTGTAGCCTCACTGAGCCCTGTCCCCTCCCCAAATTCCACACCTCTCAGATTGTGCCCCCAAATCTCCAAAAATTTCCCAAGCTGGAGTTCGTGATTCTAGCTGTGGCACACTGGGGGCAACGGTCTTTGGTCTGAGGAAGTGGCCCTGGGTGGTTAGCAGGTAGCTGTCCTTAAGAGCTCAAAACTTCTCAGAGGGCTTATCGGAAATACAATGAACATCACATCTGCTCATCACTTGGTATGGGGTGATCCTCCTCAGGACAGCTGACAGTCGCATTCCAGTAAATCCCCGATGGACCAAGAATTAGACCACCCTCTCTCTGGTTTCTTCTTGACCTCTTGTAACCTCAGGGGCTGCTTCCCACTTGCAGGATTTCAACTGGGCCATCAGCATTTGGCCTGACTCTACATGCTTAGCATTTTAAGTCTTCCCTCCGAAGATTTAATGCTATTGGCTGCCGGCCCCCGTCGGTTTCCTGTGTGGGTATAGGAACCCAATTGGTGTCACGCTATGGACTTCCCTGGGCAGGCAGCCAAGCCTCCAAGGTCCAGAGACCCTCTCTGTCTCCGAGAGAAGCAGCATGTGAAAGGGGGTGCCTGTCATCGAGACGGCAGTTGAAATGCGTCTTTATTTAGGTTGCAGGTCTCCGGATTTCTCTTCTTGCTGCCTTTTGCATGTGCATTTTCTTCCCTGGAGCCTTGTGCTGCATCTCAGGGGTCCAGTTAAATCACGCGTGTGTTTGTGTGTGTGTCAAGATGAAGGCAAATCTGAAATGCATCTGACGTTAAGAAGTGGGAATGGGGGTGCACAGCAAAATCATCTTATGGCTCAAGATTCCCCCCCCCCCAAACACACACACACACACACACACACACACACACACACACACACACACACACAGAGCCATTTGATCCACTCTATCTTATTGTGGTCGAGGCTTCCTTGCTGGCTCTGCAGGTTTCTAATAGTTCCTTCTTTGCTTTTTAGAGTGGGTACAAAATCAATCTGTTTCAAAAGGCCCTTTCTGCTACTTCAGTTTCTTTTAAATTAACAGGCATCTTTTGATGACTTCTGAATTGTTGCTTTACATTGTTACATGGATTTGGGGGAAGTGGGATTCAAATGTTGCAAGAAAATGTATAACTCGGAGACGTTCTCTTGTATTGAACAGCATTGGGGAACTGCCTGAAGATCACATGATTTCAGTTCTAGAACCAAGCTTAGAGGCCATTGTACAAGACATTTGAGTTGTACTTTGTATTAAAGTTGTTTTAAACCATTCCTCTTCCTGAGAGTCTTATCTGTGGACTCCAAAATATTGCATCAAATCTCTTGAGTCTTTGCAAGAGGCCTATGTCAACTCAAAATACCTCAATTGTATTAAGTGTTTGTTCCGTATTGACTTCAGTGATTATTGACTTAGCGATTGTAATCTTGTTGATTGCATTGCTACTAAAGAAAAGTACTTTGCAGGCACTCTAGACTAGCCTGGGCACCCCTCAGAATACAAGTAGACCACCACCTCGGGGTGCTACAGAGTGGGGACAACACATTCAGTGCTTCCTTGTGCTATGTTACAGTCCTTGCTTACAGAAAGCCAGCAGGTTGAGAAGAAAGGAAGGTTGACTCTAGCCTTCCCTGATAAGCTGGTTTTCTGTGAGCAGGGAATCTTTCTGTGGTACTGTGTGTGTGAGGGTGACATATACCAACAATCCAACCTCCCTCTTGCAAGCTGATGTGGTACATTCCAGGAAGAATTTTAATACTTAATTGTGTTAAATATGTCAAGTTGTCTGACTGAGCAATGCACAGCAGGTCCACTCAGACAATGAGCCCCATTTTATTCAACAGGGCTTTAGGGAAGAATTTTAATGCTTAATTGTGTTAAATATGCCAAGTTGTCTGACTGAGCAATCCACAGCAGGTCCACTCAGACGATGAGCCCCATTTTATTCAACAGGGCTTTACTTCCAGGATTCAGTGTCCTTCGGCTCTCAGCCTGCATCTCTGCAGTGCTGTGGTCATCTGGGGAGAGGGGCGTCAGCTCCGGCTTGGGAAATTCCTGGAGATCTGAGGGCAGTTTCTGGGGGGCGGGAGTTTGGGGAGGGGAGGGAGCTCAGCGGATGTGGGACACAACACAGTCTGGTCG